CTGGGAGTTGAAGTTCACACATCTTAAAGTTGCTGAGGTTGAGAAACACTGATAGAACACATATTTGTACTGGATCATTTCTGGTTTCTTTTTTTGAGTAGTTCTGCCTAAAGATTTTGTTGGAAGAAACTATTTGGCAAACTATTGAGAGTATAAACAACTAGTATCAGAAGAAATATAATAAATAATTAAAAATATATTCTTTGTTGCTCAGTTGTCATAATTATGTACTGTACTGTCAGTAATCACTCACCGAAAAGCTAAGTAATACAGCTCAGGATCATAAATATATTATTTTACTCACCTGAAAGGTATGCAACTTTCTCCTTGAGGATTGGAAGGACTTCCATAGCTTTCATTTCATCATTTTTACGAAATCCTGAAGACAAAAACAAAATAGATATTAAGTCAAGTTGCACATAGAACAGCATAATTCTTTTAGAATCACATTTTTTACACTGTTGGGGGTGGGAGGTGTTTTTGTTTTGCATGACTAACTAAGAAGAAAACAAAAATTATGCTGATAATTTTAAAAGGCTCTATGAAATTTGCAAGCCTAGATGCACTGAATATACTTTATAACAGTATCATCACAACATGGAACACAATCATTTTAAAGGTGCACGTCAAACATACAGAAGTAGTCCTCGCTTATTGACTGCTCGCTCAGCGAAAGTTCAAAGTTACGACGGTGCTGAAAAAGGAGACTTATGAACCATCTTTGAAGTTGCAGCCATTGCCGCATCCCCATGGTCATGTGATTGAGATTTGGGCACTTGGCAACTGGTGCACATTTATGATGGTCACAGCATCCCATGGTCATGTGATTGCCATTTGTGGCGTTCACAGCTGGCTTCTGACAAGCAAAATCAATGGGGAAGCTGGCAGTAAGTCAAAAGTCACAGTCACGTGACATTGTGCTTAATGACCATGGATGATTCACTTAACAACCACACCTGGAACTTATATTGTAAGCTGGTGTGGTCACATGATGTTTTACTTTACAACCACATGGCTTAGAGACAGAGTTGCCAGTCCCAATTGTGGTTGGTAAGTGAGGACTACCTGTATACATATTCTAAAAATCAATGGCGGCCATTTGAAACAAGACACAGTTTTCCTAAGGCCCCCAGACTTCCGGAAACCTCTGCATGAGACTCATTTTCAGATTCCAATCCTCTTCAGGACATTCAGTACACGACCCCCAATTGTGCCTCTTTATGTCCATCACTAATCTTTCAAAAATCTTTGAAGTACATTAAGGAATGATGAGATATGGAGATGGGCAAGAAATTACTAACACTAAAGTATCAATAAAGCTAGTACAGAAAGGGGAACCTTACTCAACCTAGTTTCTGCTCTTATTCCAAGCACGTGGCACTTGTGATCCATCACGACAAACTCAGTCTGATATTGCACATAAATTTAAATCTATCCTTTCATGCTACCTGAACAAACTGGAAGAAATTACAGTGAAGGGAAGTATTTAATTCAAGATGCTAATAATTTGTTGTAGCATATGAGCCAGACACCATGGTCCAAGCAAACTAGTTTCAAACCATGGATTTTGAAGCACTATTTCTAAACTAACCAGTGTAAGTTAGACAAAGTTAGTTGAGATTCAGTCCCACTGCAATTGGTGACATAAGACAATAATGGACAAATCTACACGACACCATTTGCTAAACAAGGGAGAAGAAATTTACAGAGAGGTGTTGCATCAACTCATACCTGTCAGTCAGTATTCCAGACATTTTTGTAGCAGCTGGAAAACCAACATTTCTCTACCCCTCCATTTTTTAGGGGGAAAAAAAGAAGAAAAAGTAGCAGCAGCCTGAATCAGAGTTAGAACCATCTCACATGGGATGGTTTAAGACTGAGCCTTCTACATGCCTGTAGGAAGTAAGCATGAAATAGAGCCTGGCTAGCAGAAATATTTCACTACTCTTGCCTCCCAGTTCTATGTTTAGAGCTTGAAAAAGAAAGTTAGCCAAAAATTCATTTTCCTCTTCTAGTTCATTTTGCAGTGTCATGGTTAAGGTAAATAAATGAAAACAACATTATGAGTACAGGTTGTGGTTAAGGACCTTCACCTCTATTTAAATTATGCTCCAGACTTAGACTTCTGAACAGTTACCCTTCAATATTATGATTTGTAAGCATCTTTTCATTTCAACAATTTGTTGTGTTCATTTAAGTACCAGAAGCCTCCTTTGCAATGGATACTTTCACAAAAAACCCTCACCGGAAGAATTTTTAAAGTGTTTTTTAAAAGCTCCAGTAATCAAAGAGATCTTTTAACATTTTTAAAAAGGAAGTATGACGCCCTTAACACACAGCTCCACTGAGAAAAACATGTTCTTAATTATTAAATGGGCTCCCTATGCTTGAATCAATTAAAGCTTTAGTTGATAGGTCATAAACTGATTAAAGCTTGCAATTTTAGTAGTAATGAAGGCAGTATTCTATAACTGAAGTAAGCGTGCCAGAAGCAGAGCGCTGAAAAGCAATCATGGGATATTAGGATAGGAAATGTTTAAGAACATCTCACAAAAATGGTTGTCACCATCACGTATAGCCTCAATGGAACAGATCCAGAAAACCAAGGATAGCACCATTGATCAAAGCTTTAGAGACAACTAAGCTGCCCAAACTTAACAAATACAGTCAAGTGGTAGACATTTTGGATAACTCAGAAAGAAAGGGGCTTGATCTTGGGACTGGGCAATAGAATAAACAGTTACAGAATAAGCAATTCATTTAATAGGATTACAGTAGTTGAATGCACGTGACCTAGAATTTAGTGCTCCTCATTTGCAGACCATTTTGTTAGGAATGTTCACAAAACATTAAAATGTTTTGTTTCACACTCCTTGTAAACTTTCTATTGGAAACTTTTTAGGGTTCCATGTTCAACAGAACACTCAAAACCATTCAAATATTCCACGTTCCAAAGAAACAAATTGAAATATTCCAAATATTCTGTTCCCATTTTTTTGTCTTGGGGTCATAAAAGTAGGTAGTTGGGAATCAATACTGAGTGCTATCTATTACTTAATCTCCTGAAAAAATGGCAACAGGGATGATTAAAAAATATTTAAGATGTTTTAAACGTTCCCATATCCAACAACAGATGCAACAATTAAGCACGTTTGCAGCCTGTCCTGCCTGCATAAACATCTACATAATCAAGCCCAGAATCAAGGAACAGTTGTTCTCTTCAATATAGCCCGTGAACAGCTTAACAGTAGCAAAGACCTCTTCCTAGTGCATACACACAGTACTGTTTTGCACTTGGCAATCTGTCTACAAAGCTCAAAAAGGAAAGCAACACTGTTCAAAGCAGACACTACCTCTCTGAAAAAGAAGTGAACACCACACAATTTTACAAGCACTGGATTCTAATTTGCCCTGGCACGGAATTTTAAACCAGCAGTAAACTTACCTACCAGGCATGTAGCAACCTTTCTTACATTCAAAATCTTTCTCCACCTTTGAAAACATGGCAAATCTAGATTCCTTCATCCCGACCCACAGTCCTTTTCTGAATTAGCTCCAGCCAAAGGGAGAAAAGATGGAATCTATACCTCCTATTTTACTGGCTAATGCACTCTCCAAGTCTCCATGGCTGGAAGAATGGTTTTAAAAAGTAAGCCTACTGAAGAATGTCTGAATGCTCAGAACATGGTAAAACAAAACATTGTTTTACCCTGAGGGTGGGATAAAAATCCAAGAATATCTACGGTTCCAAGCCCAGAATGTTTTCACTACCCCTACTTTCAGTTCTCCAACTTCAAATAGATCAATTGCTCTAGTGCTTGCCATTATTTGGTTCAAATCTATAGGTAGTCCTCAAGTTACGACAGTAATTGGGACCAGAATTGCTGTCACTAACTGATGTGGTCATAAAGTGTGATGTCATGCGACTGTATCACTTAGTGATGGCAATCCCAGCACTCCCCGTTGCTGCTGTTAATCGAATTTCACTGGTCGTTATTCTGGACTTGGTCCCTCCCAGCCCTGAGCCTTGGTTCTTCCAAGGTAAGGGGCTGCTTCCCCTTCAACTCCCCCCAACTGCCTATTTCCCCCCCATCTTTGCCCTTTTGGCTGCCCTTCACCCTGCCTTGCACCGAAAGTAGCCCCAGAACCATGGGCTCTGGGGCTGCTTGCCACGCTGTGGCTCAGAGGCTTCTTGGTGCGCCACAGCTCTGGGGCTGGAAGAAGCCCCTGAGCTGCAGCACAGCAGGAAGCCACGGCCACCTGTGGAAGCCTCAGCCACCCCAGCCTGGCCCAACAGTGTGGTGTGAAGCAGCAGCCGCCCCAGGAAGCCCCAGCAGCACTGTGCAAAGCCCCAGCCACTCTGGAAAGCCCTAGCCACTCCGGGAAGCCCCAGCTGCCCCAGCAGCATGGCGCAAAGCCCCAGCTATCCCGGGAAGCCTGAGTCACCCCAGCAGCGCGACACAAAACCGCAGTACCCCAGGGAGCCCCAGGAGTGTAGCAGGAAGCCACAGCTGCCACAGCCCAGTCCCAGCCGCAGTCACCCTCAACACCTTGCACTCCAAGGCCCCTGCCACCCTGTGGTCCGCTGCTCCACTGACCTTCGCCGTCTTCTTGCTCCCATTGCTGACAAGGAGTGCCTGCCCTGGCCCTTCTCAAGGTAGCTGCTAGCCATGTCAGGCCATCTTCCCCAGGTTTCACGAGGAAACTGCTGTGCACAACCTTGGGAAGAAAGCCTTGTGCGGCCAGCAGCTGCCCTGCAAGGGGCCAGGACGGGCATGCCTCATTAGCAGCAGGAACAAGAAGACAGTGAAGGTCAGCTGGGTGGCAGCAGGGGCTGCGGAGTACAGGGGGCCAAAAGGGCATAGATGGGGGGGGAGATAGGTGGGTGGGGGAGTTGAAGCACCCCTGCAGTTGTAAGTGCAGGCGGGCTGCTGTGCCCGAATTTTAATCATGTGACTGCTGGGGAGCTGTAACGGCTGTAACTTCAGGGGCCAGTTGTAAGTCCCTTCATTCAGCGCTGTCATAACTTCGAACAGTCGCTGAATGAATGGTCATTAAGCGAGGACTACCTCTAATGCATTTCCTATACATCAGAGTTTGGAAATTAGGAGCCAATCTTAGCAATATACCTTCCCTCATTTATAGTACTGTACAAACTCTTATTTATACTGCACAATTTATTTTATAATTGGCACCAACTCTACTTCTGATTGACACCACCTGGTTCCTATAATATGATTTTGGGATCTTGGTAGCTAAGCAGGTTCAACCTTGAATAGGGAACTATAGGTTGGAAAGTTGAAAAGCAACCTAGGAGAAGATCTAGGCAAACCACTTTCTTAATGCTGCAAAGAAAAATACTTAATGTAGTCACCAAGA